TGCTGCTGCTGCTGCTGCTGCTGCTGCTGCTGCTGCTGCTGCTGCTGCTGCTGCTGCTGCGTATTGCTTGTCGTTGCTGCTGCTGGTTCGGCTGCTTTTTATTCCATTGCTGCTGCTGCTGCTGGTTCGGCTGCTTTTTATTCCATTGCTGCTGCTGCTGCTGTCCGTTGCTGCTGCTCTTCAGGGGACTCAGTGGAGCTGTGGAATTTCGACGTGCAGCTGAATGTGCAGCAGCAGCAGCAGCAGCAGCAGCAGCAGCAGCAGCAGTTGGGGTCCACAGCAGCGGCAGAGGCGGCGCGCCCAGCGCGAGGAAGCTCGCAGCAGCAGCAGCAGCTGCAGCAGCAGCAGCAGCAGCTGCTGATGCAGCAGCAGCCACGCGCTATGGCGGCATTCGAATCTCCTCTGCAGCCGTCACCGACTGCAGCAGCAGCAGCAGCAGCAGCAGCAACAACAGCAGCCAAAGTCCCTTCAAAAAGGAAGCACTCGCGAGGCGGAGACCCCACAGCAGCAGCAGCAGCAGCAGCAGCAAACCGAGACCTTCATTTCAACTGGCTTGCTGCTCAGCTGCCAAAAGTCAAGGGGATTTCTTACGATGCTGCTGCTGCAGCATGGACTGTTCGGCTCGACCCCCCGCAGCAGCAGCAGCAGCAGCAGCAGCAGCAGCAGGAGGGCACAGAAGCAGCTGCAGATGCGCCCGCAGCAAGAGCGGCGGCCGACAGCAGCAGCAGCAGCAGCAGCAGCAGCAGCAGCAGCAGCAGCAGCAGCGTGCACTCGTTCAGCGTTGGGGTGTATGGACTCGAGGGGGCTTGGCAAAAGGCTTGTGAGTTCAAAAGAGCAGCAGCAGCAGCAGCAGGAGAACATGATGTTGCTGCTGCTGTTCAAGCTGCTGCTGATGCTGCTGCTGCGCTGCGCGCACACGTAGACTTGACCGCAGAAGCAGCTTGCAGCAGCAGCTCCCCCCCTCTTGCTGCTGCTGCTGCTGCTGCTGCTGCTGGCAGCAGCAGCGGCTACGCCTTCCCCTCGAAGCGCTTGCGGTACGACAGCAGCAGCAGCAGCAGCAGCAGCAGAAGCAGCAACTGCCTGCAGCTAGTTCCGACTGCAGCAGCGCAGCAGCTCCCAAGTGACACCCCAGATGCAGCAGCAGCAGCAGCAGCAGCAGCTGCTGCTGCTGCTGCTGCGGCCCTTAGAAGGCAACCGTCTGCCGCCTTGCTGCAGCAGCAGCCATCGTCCTTCCTGCAGCCTCCCGCAGCAGCAGCAGCAGCAGCAGCAGCTGCTGCTGCTGCTGGCGGGAGCGCATTCTTCGGGCCCTTCGTAGCAGAGCAGCAGCAACGAGCAGCAGCAGCAGCAGCTGCCACTGTTGCGGCAGATCCACAAAAACGTGCTGCCGCAGCTGCAGCGCAGCAGCAGCAAAGGTTTGCTGCTGTTGCTGCTGCTGCTGCGGGGCAACAAATGCCACTGAACGTCCGCCAGCAGCTGCAGCAACAGCACTTGCTGCTGCTGCAGCAGCAACTGCAGCAGCAGCAAATGCTGCTGCAGAAGCAACAGATGCGACTGCGGCCCCAGCAAGATGGAGCAGCAGCAGGGAGTGAAGGAGTGCAGCAGGAGCAGCTACAGCAGCAGCTGCTGCTGCTGCAGCAGCAACAGCAGCAGGTGCAACAGCAGCAGCAGCTGCTACTGCAGCAGCAGCAGCAACTGAGGCAGCAACCGTGGCTGATGCTGCAGCCAAACGCCTTCCCAGGACCGTCACAGCAGCAGCTGCTGCTGCACCCGTTGCTGCAGGTGCAGCAGCAGCACCTGCTGCAGCAGCAGCAGCAGTACAGCGCGCCGCAGCAACAGCCACGCCAGCAGCAAGCGCTTCAGCAGCAGCAAATGCTGCTGCAGCAGCAGCAGCAAGATGTGTCGCAGCCTCAGACAGTATTGCTGCAGCAGCAGCAGCAGCAAGATGTGTCGCAGCCCCAGACAGTATTGCTGCAGCAGCAGCAGCAGCAGAACTAGCTGCTGTCAACAGGGATGTTTTAGAAATCGTTTATCTAGTTGCTGCTGCTGCTGCTGCTGCTGCACCTTTAGTGCAGCAGCAGCAGCAGCGCATGCAGCAGAATTTCTTTTGCTGTCAATATGACGCTCTAGTGTATACACACCGCGTCTGACGCTGCTGCTGCTGTTGCTGCTGCTGCTGTTGCTGTTGCTGCTGCTGCTGATACTGCTTCCGCTGCTGCTGCTGTCAATGCTTGTACTCTTGCTGCTGGTGCTGCTAGCGTTGCTGCTGCTGCTGCTGCTGCTTCTACTGCTGCAACCAGTACTTCTGCTACTAAAAGCTGTGTCTGCTGCGCAGCAGCAGCAAGAGCCACAGCAGCAGCAGCAGCAGCAGCAAGAGCCACAGCAGCAGCAGCAGCAGCAGAAGTCATAGCAGCAGCAGTAGCAGGCGCAGGACAAAGTTTAAAAAGCAGCGGTAACAGCTGCTGCTGCAGCACCACAGAGTCGTGAGCTGCTGCTGCTGCCGCTGCTGCAGCAGCGGATACAGCTGCTGCTGCAGCACCTGCTGCTGCTGCAGCACCACAGAGTCGTGAGCTGCTGCTGCTGCCGCTGCTGCAGCAGCGGATACAGCTGCTGCTGCAGCAGCGAAAACGGCTGCTGCTGCGACGCTAGGCGCTGCAGCGGTTGCTGCTGCTGCAGCGCACTTAACCACTTCTGCTGCAGCAAATGCAATTATGACACAGACGCAGCAGCAGCAAAACGGGAGACAGCAGCAGCAGCTGCGGCTGCTGCTGTAAAAGCATAGCATGCATTAATTGGCAGCAGCAGCAGCATCTGCTGCTGCTGCTGCCCTTCCCACAACTCGCTGCGCTAGCTGCTGCGGCGCCAGCAGCAGCAGCTAAAATTGCTGCTGCGGCTGCTCCAGCTGCTGCTGCGCCTGCAGCAGCAGCAGCTGCTGCTGCTGCAGCTTCCAGTACTGGCAGCATTTGAACAGCAGCGGGAAAATGCTGCAGCAGCAACTACTCAGTCAGCAACAGCAGCAGCAGCATCTCGGGCTGCTGCTGCTGCTGCTGCTGCTGCAACACAGCCTACTGCACTAGCCTGTCGATGGCTGCGTTGATGTTGCCGTTTGCTGCCTCCAAGGCCCTAAGAGCAGCAGCAGCACCAGCAGCAGCAGCAGCAGCAGCAGCAGCAGCAGTCCCATGGGTGCAGCAGCAGCAGCAGTAGTCCCACGGGTGCAGCAGTAGTCCCATGGGTGCAGCAGCAGCAGCAGCGGCAGCAGCAGCCTAATGAGCGCAGCAGCTAGTACCGGCAGCAGCAGCCCTAGCAGCAGCAGCAGCAGCAGCAGCAGCAGCAGGCCTTGCAGCAGCAGCAGCAGCAGCAGGCCTTGCAGCAGCAGCTGCAGCAGCACTTACGCAATATTTCTGTCTCTGTCTGTAAAGCCCATGGCCTCTAGCTGCTGCATCTGAAACTGGAAGCGTTGCTGCGGGCTTTGCTGCTGCTGCTGCTGCTGCTGCTGCTGCTGCTGCGGCTGCTGCAGCATGGCTGCGATTGCCGCTGCTGCTTGCGATGCTGCTGGAGAGACGGCGGCTTGGGGTGCTGCTGCTGCTGCTGCTGCTGCTGCTGCAGGTGGAGCAGCAGCAGCAGCTGGAGGAGAAACAGCAGCAATAAAAGCCTCCAACTCATTTAGCTTCTGCTGCAGCTGCTGCTGCACTTCTGCTTCGTCTAGTGTGTCATACAGAGTGAAGACAAACCACTCCTCGCCATCATCTGCTGCTGCTGCTGCTGCTGCTGCTGCTGGCGCTGCTGCTGCAGTAGTGCCTTCCGGCGCTGCTGCGGCCGCTCCTGCTGCTGCTGCTGCTGCTGCTGTTCCTGCTGCTGCTGCTGCTGCTGCTGCTGTTGTGGGCTGGAAGCCTATGAGTTTGAGGGCCTCCTTGCCAGCAGCAATGCGCAGCAACTTGGTCTTGAGGGTTTGGTTGCTGCTGCGGAGGACTCTGTGCTGCTGCTGCTGCTGCTGCTGCGGCTTGTTCAAGTTGCTGAGGATTGTTTTTAAAGTCAACAAAAACAGCAGTTTGCTGCTGCTGACAAGTTCCGAAGAAGCACACAAGTCCCGCAGCAGCTGCGAGAAGGGAGTTGCTGCTGCAGGCAGCTCCCGCTGCTGCTGCTGCTGCTGCTGCTGCTGCTGCTGCTGCTGGGGGGGGAACTGCGCGGCCGTCCACAGGGTGGACTCGCCCGCAGCCATTGCTGCTTGCTGCTGCTGCTGCTGCTGCTGCTGCAGCATCGGCAGCAGCATCCGCCCCACAGGAGTGTTGGCAATTTCTTGCACTTGGTTTGTTATGTACAGCGGCAAGTCCCTTCCCAGCAAAAAGCGGCAAAACTCTGCAGCAGCAGCAGCAGCTGCAGCAGCAGCAGCAGCAGCAGCAGCAGCAGCGGGAGCAGGGCGGGGTGCAGAGGGGTGGAGCAGCAGCAGCAGGCGGGGGAGCCGCAGCAGCAGCAAAAGAAGCAGCGGAGTCGTTATGCTGCAGCTGCTGCAGCATCAGCTGCAGCAGCAACAGCAACTGCAGCAGCAGCAGCAACTACGGCTGCAGCAGCAACTGAAGCAACAGCAACTACAGCAGCAGCAGCAGCAGCTGCAGCAGCAACCGCTGCTTCGCTGGGGGCACTGCTGAACTGAGAATTAGGGTTTGCAGGACCTCGAGGTTGGGGTTAGGGTTTAGGGTTTAGGGTTTAGGGTTTAGGGTTTAGGGTTTAGGCTTTTTCCAAACCTTGGGAAAAGTGGTTGCAGTTGTTGTTAATTAAATCATAAGTGTCCGCAGTGAAGCGAGGAGAGACTTCAGCAATAAACCTGCAGCAGCAGCAGCAGCAGCAGCAGCAGCAGAATCGTAATCAGCAGCAGCAGCAGCATAATCGTTAGCAGCAGCAGCAGCACCTCTGAACCTCTTGCAGCAGCAGCAGCAGCAGTAGCAGCAGACTCAGCAGCTGCAGCAGCAGCCTCAGCAGCAGTAGCAGCCTCAGCAGCAGCAGCCTCAGCAGCAGCAGCAGCAGCCTCAGCAGCAGCAGCAGCAGCCTCAGCAGCAGCAGCAGCAGCAGCAGCAGCAGCAGCAGCAGCAGCACGTTTGTATTTCCTGTTGGGTCTTGGTGGTGTTTCCCAAAACTTCTGTCTTGGAAGGAACCATTTGAAAGACAGACTCGATTTCATAAGGAGGCATTGCCACCACTCCCCCCCCTGCAGCAGCAGCAGCAGCAGCAGCAGCAGCAGCAGCAGCAGCAGCAGCAGCAGCAGCAGCAGCAGCAGCA